GGATTTGTCTACCGATTTGTGTGCGTGTGTGAATTGTGAATACTCTCTCTCTCTCTCTCTCTCTCTCTTTATATATAGAGCAAAATTTTAATTTAATTTGGACTCTGTCAAAGAATCCCAATTAGATTAGGGAAACTAATTACTTCACGAGTTTTTTTTTTTATTTTTTTGGGCCCATATGTTTTTCTTTCTTTTTGGACCAAATTAGTTTTGGGTTGGACAAGAGCCGGATTGAATAATGTATAATTTTGGGGATTGAATTGAAAATTTTGAGAACTTTGTTTCGGAACTTATTAAAATTATGGGGTGGATTTATAATTTTCTAAACTTCTGGCTTAGAGGGTATTTGAGTCCTTTTGTGTCAAAAAACACACCCCCGGTAATGGAATTGCAAATGTATTTCATTTTTGGCTTTGATTGAATTCCAGTTTCTCTTTTGCTTGTTGAATTGTATTGGATTATTTGATGGTGTGGGGAATCTTTTAGTGGTTTTATGTGTTGTGGAATTAAGAAATCTGGTTTTCGGTTGATTTGGAGATGGTGTTTTAGAAAATATTGGGGATTGAATTGAAAATTTTGAGAACTTCATTTTGGGCCTTATAAAAATTATGGGGTGAATTTATAATTTCTGACTTAGATTTGAGTCTTTTCGTGTCAAAAACACACCCCCAATAATGGAATTGCAAAAGTATTTCATTTTTGTATTTGATTCAATTTCAGTTTTTGTTTGTATAATTGTACTAGATTATTTGATATTATGATATATTGGTACCATAATTATGGAATATAATTAGATTAATATAAATGGTTTTATTCTTTATGTATAAATACCCATGCCTTTATTGAGAATGTTCATTGTTTATTAGTTTTGACAGTACTAAGTACTAACCCATCGCGTACTTTTGGGTCCAGGACCCAGTAGTTTGCCCGTGCTTGCTATATATGTTTGTCTTGTACTATGTTCGGCACAAGAGGAATATCGGAATTTGGATCAGTCAAAAGCAAAGAAATCCAGAGCAACACCTTAAAGCATATACATATACATAAATCTACGAAAATCTCTGTTTTCGGGGATTTTTTTTATATGATCTAGGCATGCCGTGATTTGAGTGGACTGATTGGATAATATTTGCAAAATGTAGATACTTTCGAACAAAATTTGGGGGACAAAAGCAAAAAACTACATACACGAATAGAAAATACAATTTTGGAATATGGAACAGTGATATGCCTATTAGCACAGCTCAATAGACTCATATTTACTGGGCCATAGGCCCAATTTAATAGTTATTTCTACGGAGGCCCAATCGCATCCAAATAAGGTTGGGCCCGATAAATTGATCTCGGCTCAATCAATAAAGTATAAATAAAACTTAAGTTCATTTAATTGAGATGCGCTTTTATTATTCGATTATTTTTTCTACTCAAATTCTCTCGGCTATTATCGATTATCCGCACGTCTGACTTGAGCGTTGGAGGGGTTTCCGCCTCCGCCGGATCAACCCCCGGCTTAGATTACGGTGACCTACTTTGCTCTCCCAGCTCTTATACGCATATCGTGATTTGAGTGGACTGATTGGATAATATTTGCAAAATGTAGATACTTTCGAGCAAAATTTGGGGGACAAAAGCAAAAACTACATACACGCATAGAAAATATAATTTTGGAATATGGAACATTAATTTGTTTCAAATAAAGTACACATATAATCAATCATTCAACAAATTGTAAAACTGGACTAATGATAAATCAAATAAATAATCGAAAACCATGTTACATAATAATTTATTTTTAAATAATTATTGAATGAACACATAATTCGATCAATAAAGACAAAGATATCACACAGTTCATATAAATTGTCTAATAAAAATGAAATCTAACAAATTAGAGGGGAATTCTTGTTAATTGTTTTAATACAGGAACTTTTGCAGCAATTAGAGATTACGAGTGCTAAAATCCCCAAAATCTAATTAAAAAATAAAATAAAATAATAATAACATGACCACTTCACACGATTCAACAAAAAAAACTATCGAATCTTCTGTCAATGGACGTGCAACGGGGCTTAAGCGCATTGATTCGATCGGGGCAGCGTCTGCGGGCAAGTCTGCAAATATCGATATCTACATTGGTTTGATTGTAATTATGAAATATTCTGAGGGCTTCCATGTAATCCTCCGATAACCAACCAGTCTTCTCGTAACGGTACTGAATCTCGTCATAAGATAATGTGCAGCCCAGTAAACAAGAGTTTTCCAATGGATTACAACTCGTGTATGTGTAATTATGTTATATCTACTCGCCATGCAGAATAAATGAAACTTCACCCTACTCGTATCTAATTCCGGCGGTCGTTAAGTGTCGACTACTTCCGGCGGCTGATCGGCGGCGGCAGCAGCAAAGAGTCCGAACACCAAAACTGCGGCGGCGAATAAATTGCTTGCCCTGCTCGTTGCCATGGCTTTGTATTTAGATTTACTTGTATTCTGTGTTTGTGTGCGTGTGTACATACTCTCTCTCCATCTCTCTATATATATATGGCAGAATTTTACTTTAATTTGGACTATGAAAAAGAATCACAGTTAGATTAGAAAACCTTTCACTAACGCGAAGGAGAAACTAAAAATCTCACGAAAAAGTTTTTGAGCTTAATTGGCTCTTGGGCCCATCACATATTTACACATACGCCCCATGGATATGCTAAAATAACTTTAAGGTCTGTGTAATGTTTGTAATTGCAGCCGAAACAATTATGGGAGCCAAGATTTATGTCTTGGGGACCAATATGCACTATATTTATTTTTCGCGGTGCCGCTTATGCTACCATAGATGAAAATTTATAAATCTTATATAAAATAATAACGGTTTAAGAAATGATGGGGGAGTTTTGTCACGGCGGCCTCGATGCTACACCCGGTTATAATCACCGGTGTGGCTCCTTGTGACATGTGTCCCACTTTATGAGTTAATTATTTTTTTTTTAATAATAATTTTCAATTTAAAGTAAATCAGAATTTTAACTTTAATTATTTAAATATTTTCTCTCTCCATTTTAACTATCATCTTCATCCTCTTGATGCACGTTTCTTCCTCTCGTCAAAATTAGAGTAACCATTGCTGCAATTGGAAGAATCTTTATGCCTATACAGTTGATTTTTATTTTTCTAAAAAACCCTTTTTTCAGATTTTGATAAAAAAAAAAACCTGCATTAAAATTATAAAATCCGAATTTTTTAAAGTAGACTGAAAAATCAAATGCCCAGATTCTGATGGACTTCAAACATTTAACTGGATGTTCACAAATAATGTTGCAGCTTTCTCTGAAAAATATTGATGGCTATTTCCTTCATTTTTTTTAATACTTTCGGTGGTCTTACAGGGGCCCAAAATTAAATCCAACTTTGAAGTGAATAAAAATTCTTTCAAATACATATTTACATACATGGGTTGGAAAAAAAAAGGTAAAGAAAAGGAAGAAACCCATTATTGACCCATTATTATTAGAGAATGAATTGGTGAAAAAAAGAAGATGAGTGTGGAAGGAGAGAGAAAATTACGGATGTGGGTGGGGTTCTTCTGAGAATGGTTAAAAATTCAATTAATAAATATAATAATAATAAAAAAAAACAATTAACTCATAAAGTGGGACACGTGTCACAAGCAGCCACACCCGGTGATTATAACCGGGTGTAGCATCGAGGCCGCCGTTTTGTAACCCCCTAGTTCTATGTTATCTGCACAACTTCCTGAAACTAATAGTCGGTTAGAACCTTAATTGAATAACTTATCCAGTGCATTATTTTGTTACGATTTAAAATGTTTCAGGGGGTTCATTGTAATTACCGATACCATAGGAACCTTAAATTATTTTAGCATACCTCAAAGGTGTATGTGTAATTTATCCTATTTATAATTATGTATAATCCAAAATAATGTTAGGGAAAATTGCACTTTGCCCCCTAAAAGGGAAAAAATGAGAGGTTCCATTGCAAAATATGTTTATGTTGCACTTTTCACCAAAGTCAAACTTCGAGCGTATTTTTTGTCGGAATTGACAAACCTGCATTTACTCAAAGGGTACTGCCGTCATTTCGCCCTCCCATCAAATCCAGATCCTATTATAATTCTCTTTTGCACAACAACCGTCAAACACTTCACTCCCATTTCACCAAACAATTGTTGAAAACAAAATTAGGGATTTTAGTCCAAAAAGTGTGAGAATCTTTTATTATTTCTTCGATTAGAAAGTTATCCCGATGTTCCTGTCACAAGGGTTCAAAAATCACGAGAGAAGGAACACAAAAAAAGACACGGGTAATATGTGGTTTCAATTTGAAAAATTTATAATTTTGGGAGAGAAGAATCCTAATTTTTCAATCCTTATATGCAATTCGTGGGTTATATGAATGGGAATGACAAAATTACATATATACTCTGGAATGACGGTAATCCCCTTTGAGCGGACGGAGTTTGTCAATTCCAGTACAAAATTCGCTTGCAGTTTGACTTTGGGCAAAGTGCAACAAAAATATATTTTGTACGGGGATATCTCCTTGTTTTTTTAGGGGTAAAGTGCGAATTTTTAAAATTTCTTGGGGGCGAAGTGCAATTTGGCCATAATGTAATTATTGTCTTACTTAGGTGGTGTTTGCAAAAGCTTATTTAAAAGCATAAGTTAGTGATTGTGAGTTAAGTTGATATTAAGTGCTTAATTCTAAAAGTTGGGGGTGTTTGCAAAAAATATGGAAAAATAACTGAAATAGAAAAAGCAGGTACATGGGTGCTTTTAAAATTATAGCTTAAAACAACTTATTTTAAGAGAAGCAAAAACAAAAGTCAGTTTTGCAAACACCTAAAAACAGATTATGTGAGAAAAAAAGCTCATAATCTATTTTTAAAAGCTTTTACAAATACCACCTTAATCGAAAGTGCAATTTAGTAAAATTTACTCTAAATCTTCGCCCACAAATAACGACGTTCGACATCAGTCAAGGACACGTGGCCAACTGCCGTTCATCTTCCCCAGTTTCCTCTCCGCAAAACTCTACCGGCCAAAATCACAGTACCCCCAACAAATTTCCTTTTTCAAAATGTAACTTCCCACTAAAACCTCTTCAAAATCTCCCCCAATTTCACCTGAGAAAAACGAAAAACCATGCCGCTCTCAACTCCGTTTCTAGTTTCTTCACTCCTCCTTCTGTTACTGCACCATACGGCGTCGCATCAAGCAATCGCCGACGGCGACATACTTTTGCCTCCCAAAATGACTCACGCCGTCGAATATAGAATTGAAAGCACTGACGGTTGCTTCAAATGGTAATTTCTTTTTCTTATTTTTTTTTTGCCCCTTTTAATTTAATTTATGATATATTCTCTCAAGTATCGCGACGTTGATAATTTATTTGTTATACAGTTAAACCTCTGTAATTTAGCGAAATATTAAATGATCGAACTAATAATTTAATATGTTTACCGAGAGAAATTATTATTTAAGCGAGGATATTAATTTATTGAGGTTTTATTGTATATCTAGGTCATGGGACGATCATGATTTGTTATTGGTGTTGCCGGAGTTTAATTCCAGTAGCCAGCATTGTTCGACGAGTGCTCGATTAAAGTCTATTGCTCATTACAATGGACGAAAGGAGACAATTGTTTACGCAACTGATTCGCACACCGGAACGGTGGTTCGTTACCGTGTTAATGTCGATGAAATATCGAGGATTCAAATATTCAACACCCCTCACAAGCTTGATGTTGATGGTCTTGCTACTCTAAGGGTCCGTGCCTTTGATAGTGAAGGTATACTTATTTATTTATTTATTTTTTTTGCAAATTTCTTGTTTTTTCGTGTATTGGCTTATATGGTTTTTTTTTTCTCCTTGTGGCTACAGATAAAGTCTTTTTGTCCTTGGTGGGCCTGCGATTCATGTGGCAAATGACGCCCGAAGCTCACGGATTGCCTCGTAACCTCGTCCATGTTCCTCTAAAGGACTCTCCATTGAGTGATTATGGTGGCTTCTTCGGTGATTCGGATATCCAAGTAAATCTTGAAGAGAGTGGTGTTTTTTCGGATTTGTGTGTTGTGAAAGGCACTGAAATTGGCGTTTCGATTGTTTCTGTCAGTTTACTAGAATCATCGTCCCGGTACTTGAAAGACGAGATTACTTTGACAGTTGCAGAGGCAATGTCTCTCGATCCTCCATCACCCGTGTATGTCCTCATCGGCGCAGTTGTCCGTTATACCCTCAAATCCATCCGTAGTAATATGCCACGAGTCGTGAGCCTACCATCTCCATTCCATCACTGGTCAGCCTCAAACTCTTCGGTTGCTGAGGTGGACGGAGAAACGGGTACAGCTCGTGCGTTGAGCTTGGGGGCAACACAAGTTGTTGTTCGAGACACCCGAATTCTCGGACAGATGCAGATATCATCTCTCCATATTGTCTTGCCCGATAATTTGTTGCTATTTCTGAGGCCACTCTATCTTTGTGGTGACTGTAATATTCCCGCAGCGTCGCGTTGGTATTTAGTAGCTGGCCAACAATATATCATTCATTTAAAGGCTTTATCGTCAACAGAAACGGGTACGCATGAGGTTTTTATAACAGCGAACGACGAGATTGTGGTTGATCTGGCTCATTGGGGGCAGTTTTTCTGCAATATTCTCCCGGTTTCTGTTAGAGTTGCTAATAAGAACAAGTACAGACTACTAATTGCATATTCATCTGGATCAGAAAAGCTTATAGCGACTTTGGCTTACCGCACTGGGCATGGTATTAAGAAAGAAGTTCTCAAGGTTTCTCAAGAATTCACGGTTTGTAATCAAATTGAGTTCGTTAAGGAACGAGCGGGTAACTGTTTTAACAGAATTCTCCTTCCGTGGGTCCCGGGTGTCTACCAGGAGTTTCAGCTAAAAGCAAACGGAGGTTGTGCTGTGTTTTCCAGCCACTATAAATGGCTATCTTTAGACGCAGCGGTTGTGTCTGTATCTGCCTCGGGCATTGTTCGGGCAAGAAAGCCCGGAAATGCAACTATTAGAGTAATGTCGATTTTCGATCCATTGAATTATGATGAGATGGTTGTTGAAGTTTCTGTCCCTTCTTCGTTGGTCATTCTGCCTATCTTTCCCGTGGAGGTGCCTGTCGGGTCACATCTTCAAGCTTCTGTGACATTGAGAGCATCGAGCGGCGCGTATTTCCATGCATGTGATGCTTTCGGGTCATATATAAGATGGAAAACCGAGAGCGAGTCTTTCGTAATTGTCAACACAACTCTGAGATTATTGGCTGTTCGACTCAATTCCTCCTCGTCGTCGTCCGGCCCTGCTTGCGCATCGACTCTCATTTACCCATCGGGTCCCGGCCGCACCATCGTGCATGCAACGTTAAATAGAGAGAATCGACCCTCGGAATCTAATGTCTTGAATGTTTCCTTACGTGTTGCTGCATATTCACCGCTTACTATACACCAGGCGAGCGACGGGAACCGTTTTGGTGGTTACTGGTTCGATACGGCTCGTATTGGATCTTGGAACGAGCTCGGAAGATCGGATGATGTCAATCTCGCACTCGGAACGTACTTGGATGTAATGCTTTCTGGAGGACCAGAGAGGTGGGGCGAGGATGTCGAGTTCATTGAAACTGTCGATGTAATCGACGAGGGGAAAACTTATGCGAAAAGTAGAATTTTCCTGGATCGTATATCGACCGTTAACGGTAATTTATACCGAATAGGATGCAAAAGTCTGGAGCCGTTCTCGGTTATTTTCAGAAGGGGAAACCTAATAGGCGAAGAGCATCGCTTTACAGCTGTATCCGAAGCTGAAATGGTGATTATATGTAGCTACCCATCTTATATTCTAATAATACCTGATGAAGAATTGAATGCTCATCCAGTTATACGATCTGCAAGGGGGGCTGAAAGAACGGTTACAGTAGCCAACGGACGCGAAATTCGAATGTCGGCTGTTGGAATCTGTAATTTCGATATAGCTTTCGCGAATTCGTCTTCGTTTATTTTAAGGTGGGAATTAAGTGAATGCGAAGGGCTGGCGGTTTTCGATGATTCGAAAGGGTATTCGAGCTGGGAAAGGTTTTTGAAATTGCAAAATACATCCGGACGGTGCACCGTGCGCTCCACTATCGTCGGCTTCAATGATTCTCTAAGCAATCCCGATTTGTCTATGGTGCTCGGGAGTTACGTAGATCTAACGGCTGCAATCCAGCTGCAGCTTGTTTCGCCGATTAGAGTGAGTCCGGAATTCAGCTTGTTGTTTTTCAGTCCCGTAGCTAGGTTGAATATCTCGATTATCGGAGGAAGTTGTTACTTTGACAGATTGGTTAACGATACTGAAATTGTGGAAATACATGCTTGTGATGACTGTTCGCAACTAACATTGGCTCCTAAAAGTGTGGGTTCTGCACTTGTGACAGTTCGCGATATCGGACTCGTTCATCCTCTTTCTGCATCTTCCACCGTCCAAGTTGCGGAAATGGATTGGATTAAGATTTTAACGGGAGGAGCACACATACGCATTATGGAGGGAAGTTTCGTGTCTGTAAATGTTTCGGTTGGGGTTGATGATGGGCGTGTTTTCGACCCGTCTCAGTACGTTTACATGGGGATTCGTGTCGATATCGAGGAAAATATAGTTGAGGTTGTCGACGACTATGATTTTTCGATTTTGTCAGAGAGATGCATACGTGGGCAAAATTTGGTATTACAAGCTATGCGTCTTGGGGTGACAACCATATATCTTAGCGCTACCAAACCTTCTGGACATAAAATACTGAGCCAACCGGTTATGCTGGAAGTATATTCTCCACCAAGATTACATCCTAGTGATATATTCCTTGTACCAGGCTCGTCATATTCGGTATTACAGTACGGATGATCAGACAGCCGAAAGTCACAAGTTTTCGGGACGACTTTCTGCAATTTCACCTGGGAACTGTACCTTAATTGCCACAACATATGGTGATGGTGACATCATACTTTTGCCAAGCATCGCCAGCGTTTCTAAGGGGCTCCGATTGGTTAAAGTAAAATGCTATGTAAAAAGGTGAAAAGTCTATCTAATTTATTTTTCTTGTTTGGTTAGAAGGTAAAATAGGAAGTAAAGTAACTCAGAGAAAAAGAGGAAAAAAAAATTAACCCAAATGAGGAAAATATATTTTTCTTAAAAAAAAAAAAAAAAGGAAAACTTGGAAAATCAATCGTGCATTTCCTCTCCAGACTAGGGGTGTAAACGAGCCGAGCTCGCCTCTTTTGGCTGGCTCGAGCTCGAGCTCGAGTTTATTTTGTCGAGCTCGAGCTCGAGCTCGTGAGCTCCTCTTTTTTTGGCTCGAGCTCGAGCTCGTGTCAGTTTTGTCGAGCTCGAGCTCGAGCCCATTGTCTTTTTTTTTTTTTTTTTAATATTTTTTAAATATTTTTTTAATTATTGTTTTATTATTAAAAATTATTTTAAAAAATAAAAAATAAAAATTAAATTGTAATTATATATATTTTTAATATTTGTATTTATTTCTATAATATTTTATATTATTATACATTATTTAAATAAAAATAACATATAAAAAATAAAAAAATAATAAAAAAATAATAATAAATCCGGCTCGCGAGCTCATGAACAACTGAAAACTGGCTCGAGCTCGGCTCATCAGAAAGCTCGAGCTCGAAAATCTCGAGTCCGAGTTCGAGCTTTTTACGAGTCGGCTCTTCGAGCTCACGAGTCGGCTCGGCTCGTTTACATCCCTACTCCAGACTATTACTCCATCTAACGGTCTCTTTTTTAAAATATTTTTGTTTCATATTATCTGTCACTTTAGATTTCCAATACAACATTAAATGTATTTTTTTTCCTATTTTAACCTTATTAATTCAACTATAAGTATTAACTATCTCTTATCACATCATAAAATAATTAAGGTTATTTTAGTCTTTATATTACATTTATTGAGCTTCTTAATACTTGTGCAAAGCAAAAAACAACACTTAATATGGAACGGAGGGAGTATTTGTTAGTCTGGGTTGTCTTTCACCACCTCCATACGGATCTCCTATCACCGCCACCCCCACCACCAACAAACCCTCCACATCGACGCCACCGCCTCCTCCATGCCAACTCGTTGCCGCCGCCTCCACCACACCGACCTCCGTCACCTGCTCTACGCCAATTTCTACCACCACCTCCACACCTTGATCGCCGTCGTCAGCAATCTCTCCAATATCTTTCATCTGCTTGACGATTTTTCGACCGGCGATAGATATAGATAGATCTAATTACTGCACCCTACAAAGAATACAATTCCGATTCCGCAGAAATAGACTGCCACCACCTCCATGCTCACCACCGTCATTGTTGTTCCCACCATCCCCGCCGCCGAACGCCACCGCCAACTTCTTTAGTTGGAGAGTCGGCGATGAATAACAACTACACACGACCCATTAATACACGCCGGAGCGGCGGCCGTAGGTGGCATTGCCACCAAGGGGAATTCTTCTTTGCTTGATGCATGGTGGACTCATTTTATCGCCGCCACCGCCGCCGCCGCCGCCATCGGGGTAGGAGTGGGGAGTGGGGTTGAGGGGATTTGGGAAGAAATGCCGAGGTTTAAGATTATTTTATTTATTTATTTTAATTAAAGATTAATTTTGATTGAAAAATGAAGAGAATATAATTTTGAATAAGTCTGTAAGATTTAAAAAACTGTTAATTAATTTAATGGTTTTTCTATTTCAGTATTTTCTTCTAATTACCAAATAAAATTAAAGAAAGTAATTTTCCAGAAAATCATTTTTATCACCATTTTTCCTAGGAACCAAATATAATTGGGAATTCAAAAGTCCTTAATTTCATTTTCCTTTGCATTTTAATTTTTCTTATTTTGAAATACATGAACCAATCAAAGCTTAAATGTTCAGAGTGAGCAGATTGATATTTGTCAACCACAAGGATTTACTAACCCTACTTAGACTTCTACTCTAATAAGGATTCTAATAATCACACTATAAATAAACTCATCTCGCTCACTTTATATGGTACGTTCTATTCTGTAGTCCTGATACTTAAAACTCTTATTTTCTACCTACCCACCTCTTGTCTAGGCATATACCTAACCTGAATGTCGGAATGGTTTCCGTCGGATCAACCCCGGCTTAGTTCACGTACTCTAGTTTTACAATTTGGAGCTTCAACTTTCTGTCCTTCCATGGTTAGATCACCTACTCACATGCATACCCGAGAGTGTTCCCATTTGAATTCATCAAGGTGAGTGATACATCATCCTATTTTTAAATTATTATTTTGTTTGTACGCTAGATAAACAAATACGTACAAAATAATAACTTATGATTTTATACAGAGGCATTTTGCCATGAAATACATCATTTTAGGATGGAAAATGCAATTCATCAACAAACGGAAAACTAAAATCTTCACCGAAATTTTCTTGAGTTTGATTCTTGGGCCCATCTGTTTTTCTTTTCTTTTTGGACCAGATTAGTTTTGTGTTGGACATGAGCCGGACTGAATAGTGTTAGGGTCCATTTGGATGGAGAGATTTGGGGAGGGATTTGATTTGGGGAATGGATTTAAAATGACTCCAATTTTGGAGTCATTTGAAATTCATCACTATTGCTCCAAAATCAACTAAAAAGGAGGGGTGGGGATTTGAAATCCATCTCCAAATCCCTCAATCCAAACAAGTACAAGGGATTTATTATTATGGAATTGAAATCCCTCCATCCAAATGCACCCTTAGGTTCGTCCTATTGTATATTTGTAATTATGTATAATTAGTAAGGGGTTATTTTACATAACCCTAGTCATCAAATAAACTATGGATAAACTCAAGCCCAAATCATCATTTGACATACCCCTGGGGAAGCGAAAGTACTATATGTGCAATTTTCGGCCAAACTGCATTCAGCATTTATGGTCCTGCATTTATCATTTTCGCTGATTTATTTATTATTATTATTATTTTTT